TGCATATAAAGGAAGTATTAATTCTAGTTAATTTGTCAGGCACTAGTGGTTCATGCCTGTAATCCTGGCTACTCAGGAGATTGAAATCTGAAGATCGTGGTTTGAAGTCAGCCCAGGTAGGGAAGTATGTGAGACTAAAGCACCACGAAAATTGGAAACTGAGCTGTGGTTCAAGTGGTAGCATGCTAGCCTTTAGAAAAAAAAAAAAATCTCAAGAACAGTGGTGGGGGGGTGGGAGGAGGATCAGATGGGGGGAGGGGGGAGTATGGGAAGGGATGGGAAAGGGAAACAAAGGGGAGGCAACAATGCTTGATAAGAAATGTACTCATTATCTTGCCCATGTAATTGTAACTCCTCTGTACAGTATTTTCACAATAAAAAAAAAAAAAGTAAAATAAAATAAAAGGAAAAAAAAAAAAGAACAGTGCCCAGGCCCTGTGTTCAAGCCCCAAAACCAGACCATACACACACACACACACAAACCTAGCTAATTAAGTGATGCAAATGTTTACTTGATACTGTAAAGATTAGGCATGTACTGTATTTATTCTAAATAGTCACTTCAGGGTTACAAAAAAAAGTGTGCATTTTGCTGTAAAAACATTAATGAGTTTCCATTCTGCTCCAGTGAAAGGTAACATGAAGTTGAGCCAAAACAGGAAGTTGAGCCGAGATATTTGACTAGCTATGTCTTTCATGACTAATAAGATGCTATAGCCGGGCGCTGGTGGCTCATGCCTGTAATCCTAGCTACTCAGGAGGCTGAGATCTTAGGATCCCAGTTCAAAGCCAGATTGGGCAGGAAAGTCCGTGAAACTCTTATCTCCAATAAACCACCAGAAAACCGGAAGTGGTTCTGTAGCTCAAGTGGTATAGTGCTAAGCCTTGAGGTGAAGAGCTGAGAGACAGTGCTCAGGCCCAGAGTTCAAGCCCTATGACCGACCAAAAAAAAGAAAAAGAACTACCACCTGTTTTTTTCCTAGTTCTTTTTCTCTGCCTGACTTCCAAAACAAGAAACATCAAGAGCTGGAGTGGCATATCTATAATCTGAGCACTTAGAAGTCTGAGGCCAGCCTAAACTGCATAGTAAGACCTTATCTCAACAAAACAAAACAAAGAAACATGGAGCAGAGTTACAATCTAGCCACAAGTCAAGTGAGCAAGAAATAAACTGTTGTCACTGTAAGACACTGAGATTTAGAGAATTTTTTATTTTATTTTATTACAACAGCAGAGCCTAGTTCTGTGACATTTGACTGACATTCTGGGAAAACAGACTGCTGATGAAACACATATCCTATATAGGCATGTTAAATATGCCTATAATAACAGAGACTATAAGATGCAAGTAGAATAATAACATACTCAGAATTCCTTATAATACTTTTTGAGATCATCACAGAAAAATTCTTAATGCAAACCAGAACATGTCTCCTGCTTCAAAAATGTCCAACAGACTGTAGACTAACAAGGACCATATATCTGGTTTAAAAGCTTGTTTCACAAGATCAATTCTCTTCTTAAAATTTAAGAATTCCAATAAACTCCTCTTGTTCATGTTGAACTTAGAAGAAACAACTTGTCTTATGAATGACCTTGACTAGAGTTAATCCAGCAGTAATAAACACAGTAACATTAACAAAGACTAGAAACAAGTTCTCTCACTACAATGAAATACACTTTAGAAAAAAAATGAAGCCAATAACAATATTTTCCTCCATCTCTATCCTCTCTGCTTACTTTTAAACATGAAAGCATAAACAACTATCAATAGCCTTCCCTTCAATTCCGCAGCTAAAACTGAATCATCCTAAAAGCTTTCCTGTATATTACTAAATAGCCTGCATTTTCTAGGCAACTAAACTCCAACATTAACAAAGGGAATTTGGCTTCTTTGCCTTAAAATAAAGCTGCACTTTTTCTATACATAATTCCTTTTAATTTAAACTATTTTTTCCAGACTATACATCAAAATTTAAAAAGTTGTGTTTGGTAAATAGCCTAAAGAGAAGCTAATTGCTTACACAGTAAATGAACTAAAATGAATTGTCACATGATGTAAGCTACCCATACTGACAATATAATTTCAATTGTGCCACAAGAAAGAAACATATTTCTTAAAAAGAATGTTTCTGCAATTTCAAACAGGGATAAAAGGGGTCATAATTGGCCACTGAAAATACATCAAAAGAACAAAGAATTAGTGTGGAGATGTATCCTGGAACAAAGTAGAAAACTTTTGTACCAATTTACCCAATACTAATGAACACTATTTAGGAAGAAAAGGAAAGGATATTTCTATCAACATATTTATTAAAAGTTATTAAAAGGGGGCTGGGAAGGTGCCTCAGTAGTAGAGTGATTGCCTTGCATGCATGAGGCTCTGGGTTCAATTCCTCAGTACCACATAAGCAGAAAAAGCCAGAAGTGGTGCTGTGGCTCAAGTGGTAGAACACTAGCCTTGAACTGAAGAACTGAGGGAAAGCGCCAAGCTCAGAGTTCAGGCCCCACGACCAAAAAAAAAAAAAGTTATTAAAAGGACCCTTTGCAAAAAAATTAGCATATTCTCTAGAATTTTAAATGATGCCTCTAATACCACACCAATCTCTCCTCTAAATGGAAGAAGAGGAGGAGGAGGAAGAGGAGGAGGGGGAGGGGGAGAGGAAGAAGAATTCAGTAGAAGACTTGGCGTTATAGGTTGACGGTGGTTAAAAAAACAAACAGGAATATTTATATTTGAAGTAGAAAGTGAAAAGGGAGACAAAGACAAAAATCTGCCTCCTGTTCCTCACACAGAAGAAATATACTACAGTAGTTCAATTCTTTGTTCCTTTAACACCTCTCTCCATTTACAGAGTATTATGTGAACAGGTAATAATTAAAGATCGGACTCTGTCCACTTGTCTGAAAAGGTTTCCTCAGGTCTGCAAAACTGAATTGCTTTTTTTTGTTTTTTTGGTTGGTCATGGGGCTTGAACTCAGGGCCTGGGCACTGTGAAGTCTAAGCTTCTGTGCTCAAGGTTAGCACTCTATCACTTTGAGCTACCAACTCCACTTCTGATTTTCTGGTAGGAAATTGGAGATCGGGGCTAGCTTTGAACCTTGACCTTCAGACCTCAGCCTTCTTATTAGCTAGGACTGCAGGTGTGAGCCACCAAGGTCTGACCTAAATTGTTCCTTTTGTTAAAAGTATATTTTACAAACTATATACATATATATGAGAATATTTTTTATTTTATTTTTTTTGGGGGGGGAATCCGGTCTTGGGGCCTGAACTCTGGGCCTGGGCACTGTCCCTCAGCTCTTCAGCTCAAGGCTAGCACTCTACCACTTGAGCTAGAGCACCACTTCTGGCTTTTTTTCTTTTTGCTTATGTGGTGCTGAGGAATCGAACCCAGGGCCTCATGCATGCAAGGCAAGCATTCTACCACTGAGCCACCTTCCAAGCCCTATATGAGAATATTTTTATGTATGGTTTTTGTTGATCTTAACATTCTGATTGTTTTTGTACTGTTAAACCCTATAAAGTAGAATAACATAGCATAAATTATGACCTTCACCATCATATTACTGATCGACTCTATATTATTACCACACTAACACTAACCTTGCACAGTTTTTATACTTTATACAACAGAAAGTTAAATGTGTCCTGAAACATCAATCAAACCTAGAATTGGAATTTCAGTACTTTTAAACTGCAAGCAAAACAGAGACTAGAGAGGCACTCAATTTAAAAAATTCATGTTTATTTTTTTCAACTTACCATTACAGTAGGGATTGGCTGGATTAAAGTTTATTGGAAATTCATGGGATACCTGTCCAAAGACAAAAGACTGATGAGGTCTGGTTTGCTTTTCTCAGAAGAAATGCTTTTAAATGAGATTTCTTCTTACCTGCCACTGAGGAGGTATCTGAGCTCCAAAACCAAAAGCTGGAAACATTTTATCACTAAAAAGCAAATTAAAAAAAAAACTGAAATACTATTTTTTCAAAAGAGCCTTTATATTTACCTGCAATGAAATCAATATAAGTTCCTTGTAAAAAATATTTTGATGTCTTAGAAAAGTAAAAAGATAAAACATACTTCTATTGAACAACCTTTTCTTTTCTCTTTAAATCTTGTGCATTATCTCAATAAACAAATGTGTAAAAAAAAAAACAACCATAAAGCCTGGAAGTTTTTGGTTAATTTATAGCAAACTCATTTGAACACAGGGTATGTTATGTTCATGCGTCTTAGCTGTGTACCTAGCTCCAAATCTACTCGAAATCTAGCCATTACAAATCTATTCAGAAAATTCTAGCTATGCAATTAAGTTACCCAATGTTGAAAGTCACAATTTAAAAATACTAATTCAGTGATTGCTAAGGAAATAGATATGTTAAGAAAAAGGATTGGAAAAAAATTATATTAAGTGAAGTAAGCCAGGCCCAAAGAAACATAGGTTCCATGGTTTCCCTTATTTACAATAATGAGTACATGTGTAGGACAAACAAAAAAAGGCCAAAAGCTATGTACATATGACTATATAAGATGATGTTAAGCTAAATGAATCCCAAGATAGGGACACAAATATCTTTTTTCTTTCTTGCTATTGTTTCTAACGTATTTATAATGTACCATGTGATTTTGTTGTTGCTTTGCATGTTCCTCCCCCACAGTACAACCCCTATTTCACTGTATTTGATGTCGGTACCCTGCATCTTGTATATACACTTCTCTAATTCAGGGAGGGGAAGGGTAAAAACAAAATGCTGAAATAAGGATACAGGTTGACCCATTGTAACAATGAGATATACAAAACACTATGTTGAAAATGAGCTTTACAAGGTCAGATAATGTGATGTTAAGAGAATGAACCCTTAGAGATGTATTTTAATGTTTTTT